CTTCATATAACTATTCTTCCTCACACCTCAAAAAAGTATTAATGCCATTTTTATATCAATAAGCTAACTTGTATTTCTCTGACTTGACTGTTCTTAGTCTAATTAATTCTCAATATAATATTAGAGTTATTTTCCTTAAAAACCAAAGCTGTCACGTGGTTCAACACTTCAATAAACCTTGGACTGCTCCCATTTCCCCATCTGGGCCCTCCTTGCACTCTGTTCAAACTTCTTTTCTCTGTTGAATTTTGCATCTTTCCTTTTATTCATCAAACCTTTATAATTTCAAACCATATACAATTCTATTTCCCTCAAACTGTAAATTTCTTATCCTGCACCTTTGGCAAAATTCTACTGATCCTTTAACACCTAGATTAAATGTTACTTTCATTCCATAAACATGTAATGAGCCAGAAAGCTAGCTCAGTTTCTCCAATATTAATTTTTTCTCTTTCTTCTCTGTTCTCAGAAGACTTTGTTAATATCACTAGCAATTACCATAGTGTATTATAACTAATGCGTGTGTGTGTGTGTGTGTGTGTGTGTGTGTGTGTGTGTTATCGACCTCCCAGTCAGACCATGAGCTACTCTAATGCTAGAAGCAGTGCAGGTTCTTTATATACACTTTTAAGTAAATAAATGAATGGATTTTGACTGTTATCTTCTCCGTGGCTGGCAAGATTATGTTAATACATAAATAATCATATTCAACCCTCTGGATTTCTCTTTGCCAACCCTGATTATAAGCCCTGAATTGTCTGTGTTTTTGATTTGTGGTCCAATATCACATCTTGAAGCCTATGACTTATGTCTTGACAACTTACCTTGCCTATCACAATTCAGACCCACGGTCTTTCTTGATCTCTTAACTTCTACCTCCAGAGATTTTCTACATCTTTGCTGCTACCCCTTAATTTACAGTGACAATACAAATACAGAGAGGATTCAGGGAACAGAGGAATAACTGACTTTTTATAGGCTTTCCATACCAAGAAATTTCATTGAGAAAAATTTTTCTCTTCATTTTACAGCTGGAAACTGTCACTCATAGATTAAATAACTTACCCAGAGTCACATAGTTAAATATGCAATACATGGGATTTTTTTTTTCAGTAGTGAGTATTGAACCCATGGCCTGGTATATGATAGGCAAGCACTTTACTACTGAGCAACATTCCAAGCCCCTGACATATGGAATTTTAACCCAGTTTCATCTGATATAAAGAAAAAGAAAGAGAAGAAAGAAAAAGGCACTTCTTTTATTTTAACTCTTCCACAAACAAGGCACATACCTTGTTTCCAAAGGCTCAGAGCCAGGAAACTTAGTTGTAATTTGAGGACTAGTAAAGGTTTACACTTGCCTAGATGCCTAGTTTAACTGTAAATCTATGACCTTAATACCAAGAAAATATATATTAAGAAGCTGTAAATCAATTTAAAATAAAGCAGCTAGACACAAAATCATGTGTTGATGGTATTATATTAATGGTTATTTTGCCTCCCAAACTTCTAGTTTATCCATTGTTGTAGAGTAAATATGATGTAAGAATCTAAGGGTCACTTCAAACAAAAAGCTCTAAAATGCCAGTCCCTCTCCTTTAATTTGTAAGTTCAAGATTTCAACTCCCTTCTGAGCAAAAAAGGAAACTTTTGTTTTCATTTTTTTACTAAAAATAATAATTATGGGTAAAATAATGCAGTTTAAAAGAATTGGCTCTCATTCTATCTTTGGAATTTCCCGCTCCAGACAATCCTTTCTTTCTTGGCAAAATATGACAGAATGATTTGAAAGAAAGAAAAAAAAATACTTAAGTGTTTGAGGCCAAAAGTTAATTGAATAAGACCTTGGATTCTGATGAGTTTGTGTTTTATGGTTGATTAACTTGTTTTAATACCAAAAAAAAATGCTTAGGAAACCCAATTATCATGCCACTTAATCTGAGTTATTGGCTGATATCTGCTAGTTTCTGGATGTCTTATTGACCAAGTTACATTTCCTTCTACCATGTACAAGAGAATCTGAGCTTGAGTTTGGAAAGAAGAATGTGGGTCTGATATGTGACTAATTGCCCCAAAACAGAAAAAAATAAATAAATTCTTAGATTCTTAGAGTCTATGACCAGTATTTGCAATCTCCAGTTACCAACAGACTTTGAGCCCTGAGATTAGGATGGATAATTAAAGCCCTCTAATTTTTTCCTATAAATTGCAAATTTTCTACTGTCATGCTCTCTCCCCCCCCCCCAACACCATGGTCCTATTTTCACTTTGAAGACATGGAGTACAAAACCTGCTTATGAATGAAGCAGGGAGGAGAGGTAATGATTGAAATCATGACATCAGATTCTGGAGCCTGCTAGCCACATCACACACACAACACTTTTCCACTGGCATGCACATTGGTACTGATTCTGTCTCTTCCAAAAAGACCTGCTCTTAGGTTGGAAGCCCATCTTTCTTCACTTGCTAGAGGGAAGCAAGAGGTCGCTAGACATAGGCCATCTAAAGACACTGGAAGTTCTCACATGATCTTTTAAAGTAAGGGTTCTTTTAATCTGAGCTCCATAGATGAGCTTTCAGGGTCTGTGACATCTCACAGTTATTCGCAACATGGTGTCAATGAATTTCCAATGAAGATTCTTTAAACTCTATCAGATTCTCATGAGACTCTGTGGCCCATAAAACATAGATTAAATCCAATCTTCCTAAATTCGTCAAATTTCTCAGCCTAGCTATTTATCTGTGATGCCCCGCAAATTATGAGAAACAAGGAAGTAACAGGTAGAAGACAGGAAGGATGAGCCATGGCTTCTTGCCTGGTACTAGTGGAGGTGATGTGGGACCACAGCTTTCAAGCCCAGCATTGTAGAAAACTGGATTGATGGACCCACTGAATGAAGGTCACTCCCATAACTCTCAGGTTTGCCATTCCCCGGATGAATGATACAGGATGTAACAGTAGGGCTTTTTTTTTCCTTTGTTGTATCAAATATTTGGAGCAGAGCACTGAAACTTGTGAATTACTGAGATCTGTGGATTCAAGGTGCTTTTTGTTTTAGGCATATATTTAACAGAGTAGCTGCTGTCACCTCATATCATGTTAGACACTAAAGATATGGTAGTAAACTGAACAGGAATTATAAAGGAAAAATAAGCAAGACTTAAGTCAGCCAAAATTATAGGGGAATTGGGATAAAATGAAAACTCTTGGAACTTTTTTGTTCATCACAAATTCCTCCCAAACCATAGAATTTTTAAAATTAGAGGAAAACTTGATAATTAACTTGTCCAGTCCTCCTAATTTACAATAAAGAAACTAAGAGTCTTATTCAGGGTCATTCAGTTCAGGTATAATGCTGGGACTGTATCCTACGTTTTCTTTCATTCAGCAAATTTCTCTTTCCCCTGTTTTAAACTGTACCTTCTCAACCTATCTGTATCATTTTACTTATAGAATCATCCAGTTTCAGAAACCCATGAAGCCTCCTAGAGGCCAACATGCCATCCCTGGTATGCCTTCCCTCCGAACATCAAGACACCCATTTCACATACCAAGGAGGGAGAAACTTCCCAATTAATTGTAAAACGTGTAAGCACAAAAGATGAAACCCAAAAAGAAGTGGAATGATGTTCGTGTTTAAGACCAACCGTTGCTAAAAACCAGAAGCATCCCTGGCTCTTTAAAATCAGAGTGTCAACTGGTGCACTCGCTCATGATGTCATATACAGTTTGACGTTGTCTGGGCAACTTGGTAAACACACTGCTTCCTCCATTGTTTAATTCCCTTCCCTGAGTGAGATCCTTAGGCAACCAGGCTTCATTAGTTCAGGTGCTAGCCTCAGGGAACTACTTGTTTTAATTAGAGGGATGAAATGGCATTTTAATTGTGCACAATGATTAATAAACATGCTGAGCTGCTGCATAATGATCTGCTGCTTGAAGAGCTTTCTCCCCTATTCTTGATATCTACATCCATTAACTGATTGTTATCCAGGTTGAGAGCTATCAAGCTCTTCCTCCAACCAAATTGCACGTTGTCTGTCCTCCAGTTTCTCTGCTAATAATAATTATTAGAGCTAAGTCTCAATTTTTTTTGTAGCAACAGAGAGACAAGACTAGAATGGAGAGAGCTTACAAAGTGGCATACAGTCTATGTAATTTATTTCACTAAACTTCCTTGTAAAAGGGAGATAATAATAGGACCAACCTGACAGGGCCTTGCAAAGATTAAATGAGACAATGCATGCAAAGCACTTAGCAGAGAGCTGGCCCAGAGTAAGCACCCTGAGAATGTTAGCTGCCATTATCATTAGTGGTATTATCATCAACTTCATCATCATCAACTTCATCATCACCATCATCAAGAGAAGACCATCATCTTGGTCAAGAGTAGATACTCAAGTGTCCTTTTAGAGGTTATGATGTTCACTATATCACATGGATATTCTAATTTAGGAAGCATTTTCTAAAAGGTAGACGTTGACTACCGATTTTTTCCCTCAATTTCTCTTTTATGATATATGAAAGTATGGGAAGTGTGTGCAAAGAAGTTCCTAGATTTTACAGGCTTAATATCACCTCTCCATGGTTCCATAAAATACAAGGTATGTAACTGAACTTCAATAAAAACAGAAACCAGAAAGCTCAATGATAAAATGACTTCCCCTACTAAGCTGCCATGTGCTTGGGATTTGTAATAGTTTTATTGGCTTCTATTATAATTTGGTGAGTCGTGACAACATTATAGCTTTTTACCCTAGTGCTAACACTAGAAAATTGTTTTACTTTGTGTCTCCTGAAAATTGTTCCTCGAGGTCATATATCTACCTCCAAGTCTTTGACGTTACTTGGTTTGGGAGGAATCAATCTTGATGAAATCCAGGGCAACTAAAACTATCTACTGTTTGTAAGTGGCTATTGTGATGTTGGGTACTGTGCAATTGATTCTGTTCTTTAACTTGAAGAATCAGAGGCCAGCTCATCTTCTGATCTACTGACATTTATATTTTGATCTACTATCATAACTACACACCAATAAACTCACCTATGCCTAAGAGGAGAAGAGTAGACTATGACTAAATAAGGCAGAATCTAAATGTAAAAACTGCTTTCTAACCCACAAAATGTTAAGGACTTCATGGCAGTGAGTCTGTCCCACTGAAGATGTCTTCTGTATTCAGGGTCATTACAGTTCAGTGAAGCAGATATGATTGATTACATGGGCCAAATTTTACCTTGCCTCCAGGGCACTCCTAATTCTTGCTGTTAGATCCTTTAAAGGCACACGATTGTCTGCAAGAGTCAAAGGGGAAAGGTGAATGAACTCTTTCCACCATGGCTGAGCAGAGAAAAGTTTTGGAGTAGATTCAGGACCTGAAATATCTAGGACAGGAGAGAGAGAAAAAAATAAAAAGGAAAACACAAAAAGGAATGCATTTTCTTTTCTCCCACATCCCTAGCTAGGAATTCTTTAAAATTGCTCTCCTGAAGTTTCCCTGGAATGTAAATACATGCCTATTTGAATGGCTAACATTAAAAATACTGACGAGGGGCTGGAGATGTGATTCAATGGTAGAACACTTGCCTACCACATAAACAACAACAACAAAAAGAAACTGAAAAACAAAAACAAAGAAACTGACCCATGTGAAGTGTTACTGAGGATGTGAAAGAAAGGCAATTTACTAACAGTACTAGTAGCACATTACATTTTACCAATGTAAAACATTCCAACATCTTTGGAAAACAGGGTTGCAAGTTCTAAAACGTTAAATATGCAACTACCATGCAATGCAATGTTCCATTCCACAGTATTAAACAGGAATGAAAGCAATGTCCATGCAAAGACTTGCATATTACAACATGTAGAATCAGAAAAATGAGAAATTATACCCCATCTATGTATGATATATCAAAGTGCATAAATGCATTCTACTGTCATGTATTGCCGCAGTCTGGCTGGGCACAAATCATGAGCCACTCAAGCAGGAACAAACTTTATTTCTGAACTCCACTTATGCTCCCAGGGAACTCTCCTGAACGCCACGTGGCTCCTCCAGGAACCACCAACCAGAAAATCCCTCCTCCGGCACTTCCCCAACCAATGCGAACTCTTCAGGAATCTCCACGAGAGCTCAACCGGAACTCAACGGGAACTCCGCGAGAACTCAAAAGTCATCATCTTAAAGGCTCGCTGGCGTCACCTCTCAACCACTACTTCTGGCAAAAATGCCATGCCTCATCCCAACTCAGCTGTGGCCCTCAACAATGTATAACTTATTAAAACAAATTAAAAGTTTTTTTTTAAAAAAGACTTGCATACAAATATTATTTGTGATCATCAAAAATTGGAACCAAAACATCTTTCAAGAAGTGATTGAATTAAACCATTGTGTGTTGAACCAATGGAATGCTAATCAGCAAGAAAAAAGAATAAACTCTTGATACATGAAATAACAAAGATGAATCTCAAACTAATTATGCTCAGTGATAGAAACCAGATAAAACAACTGTGATCTCTACTAACAGAAAACAAAGCAGTGGTTACTGCCAAGAAGTGAGGTGCAAAAGAGATCAAAAGGAACATGAGGAAATTTGGGAATGATAGATATGGTTCTTATATTAATTGCAATGATGCTTTCATGAGCATGGACATATGCCTAAACTAATAAAATATATATATGTTTTATGAATGTCAACTATACTTCAATGAAGTTGTTAGACAAATAAATCACTTACCTGAAATTTTTTGAGCATTTCATCTGTGCTAAAGGGACTGGTTGGGATGGATTTTGGTCTGAAATGGTTACAACATAGTACATTAATCTCTGGTGAGCATATACATACATATACATGTATATATAAACATATAAATACACATTTTTAACTTAAGGCTATCTATTGTTATGTATAAAGATAGACTCACAAAACCAATGCCTTCATGGAGATGTAAATAACTATATGTAAAAGACTTTTCTCTAATGAATAACTGTCTGAATAAAAATGCAACTGTGTAAATATGCTTGTAGTAAACTCTTGGTTGCTCAGAATCTTTCAAATAACCAGACTAGTAAGATTGTGCTAAATTAAGAACTTTGGTTATCTTTCTAATTTCCTCTCCTACTTTAGAAGGGACTATGAGAAGAGCGCTGTCTGTAGAATACAACTGTGATATCCTGTCTATTACTTTCAGCCTAACATTTTGACTTAGCAGAGTTAGTCATTCCTATATACAGTTTTTTTCTGACTTGATGCTGATACCCCAGAATTATGTCATTACTGAATCCTTTATTAACAGTGAGTCCTTCCTTCACACAAGCTATCTCTGACCCATCAACCTTACCTGACCTTCAAAATTTTCTGCAATTTTATGATGCAGAGATATGAAATATTAGAGAGAAGTTTAAGAATATTCACTAGCAATACGTCTACATTTTTAATGTACTATTTTTTTTTGAAAAATATCCCAAGCCCTAAAATTTGGACCATAGTAAAAATGCTCCTTAAAAAAAAAAATAATGGTTTCTGAGAAATTTACTACCTTGGAAAAGAAAAGCCAATTAAACACAATGCAGACTGATATATATTCATATAACTGTCAAATCAGATGCACATATATTTATAATACATTACTACTAAATTTATATTATCCATGACTATTCTTTAATAATCAAGAAGCAAGGAGATTATAATAAATCAGACAAATCTGCACTGATTGATTAGTTTAATGTTATTCTCTCCTTGTTAGGAACTCAACACATTTACTGAGTACTTATATAAGGACAATAGTTTAAAATCAACTTAGTGATGAAAGAAAGAGAGAGGGAGGGAGAGAGAGGGCTAAAGAGAAGAAAGAGGAGGAAGGGAGGTAGAAAGAAAAAAGAGTGAAAGAATTTGCATCTGTTTATACTTTTTCACTTTCCTAGTCACAGTGTACCTTGTCTGGATTAGGTTAGATTTTCCACTTTAGTTCTCAATCTTGGCTGCACATGTTTACGCTCATTTGGATCTTGAAAAAAAAAATGTTCACATCCAGTCTCACTCCAGTCCAAATGAATGACAATCTCTGAGAACAAGACCAGGAATAGATGATTTTGAAGCAAAATGTGTCTTAAAATGTGCAAATTAAGAGCAGAAGTGCTGGGGAAGCCGTAAAACCTCACTAGAGATTGATGTCACCTTGATGTCAACTCTTGTCTCATTCTCTAAACATTTTGTCTAGCACATCCACCACAGGTCACCTTTGTGCACCCCTTTGGTTCTCTTCCACTCTGTTCCTTACCTCAAACAAATAGGTAGATCGAAACAGACATTATTACCCTATATGCATGCATGATTATACTACTGATGTGACTCAGCACCAAGTGCCGCCAAAGGAATGAAAAGTTATGCTTCATTTGTATACAATATGTCAAAATGCATTCTACTATCATGTATAACTACTTAGAACAAATTTTTAAAAACTGAAGCCATAAAAAAAGAAGAAAGAATCCTAGTAAGCACTGGGTGCTTTGCTGAAGAGTTGTAGAGGTATCAAAGAGGATACTTTATATTACACATTCCACAATCATGTGACACTTTTTTCCCTCCAAAATTCTGTCCCCTTAATAAAACTCAGATTACTTTTTTTTCTACAGAGCCAGGACTATGTGGGAAAAAAAATAGAAAAAAAAATTACGCAAATTTACAGAGCAATTCACCTCCACCCAAACTTGTTTATTCTAAGCAATAAAATAAAATTTTAAAAAGCCACATAGTTAATAGATCTCCCAATCCTCAGAAAGCATTGCAATAGCCCTATTATTTAAACTTGCCTTTGCAATCCTCGGTACTTCAAATGACTTATCCAAATTTTCTCCCACACTCAGTATCCTCCATAAGAGGTACTTTTGTACCATCTGAGAAGATAATAAAATAGCTGTCATGTCATTTTATATGTTAATGCTCACCAAAAATGAACAAAAATTGAATGCCACCTTTATGTTAAAAAAAGCAAACTCAGAGCTGAGGAAAGAAAACTGTTAAGAGATTAACAAATAAATGAAATGAAAAAGATGAAGAAAAGTGAAGCTGGGAGATCCTGATAAAAGACACAGAATGGAGAAATCTGGGTCCTGATAGATAGTATTCAAGTTCCAGTATAGATCTAAATTTCTAAAATCTGTGGTCTCATCTCCAGTGGCACTCTGATGAAATCAATCTTAGATTGGCCCAAAATTCACATTGTTACCAGCCCTGATACAATTTTGATGCAGATGATTGACATACCACTTTCAGAAATCTCACACTATAAAATGCATCAATTGAAGATGTTGTTGAAGTGTGGACTCTGCTAATGTTAACTCTGCAAAGCTGAGGACAGAGTTGATGCATTTCTAACAATCAGGATACTGCCGATGATATGACCCACAGGCCACACCTTTGTAGCTAGGTAGCAGCATTTTGAAAATTGAGATTGGATATGAGTGACATATGATTTGGAAGTTTTCCATAAATGGTAATTTTATGAAAAAGTTAGTTAGATTCCTTGCTTTGCCCAATTTTTCTCTTCCCTGGCCTGGCCTAGCCCAGTTCCTCAGAGTTCATTAAGCTACAATTAACAACTGTGGATTCGATAATTCCTCTCTTTGTTCAGAATATATTAGGGTACGATCTATTATACCAACTGATAAATTACTATAGGCAGGCCAAATCTGGCAGCTGCCTCTTTTTGTAAATGAGGTAATATTGAACACTGCCGTATACATTTTTTCACATACTGCCAATGGCTCCTTTCCTGCTACAGTGATAGACACGGTTAATTGCTATGCAAATCATATGGTCTACAATTGCTGTAATATTTTTTATCTTTTTCATATTTTATTTGGAAATGTTTATACAAATACAGAGAAGCTAAACTTTAGAGACAACGAATGTCATTAGTTTAGATTATCATCAGTTTATTATAAAGGAGAGACATGGAAATTATTTACACAATGAAAGATTTCAGAACTTCACTGGAATGGGCAGCTTCATACAATGCTGTTTCAACAGTGATTTATTTCAGTCTACATACTTTCCAAGAATGTCACTATCTCTAAATAAAAAATAATGCTTGTCTTCTAGAACTACTTTGGTGCCTACATACTCTGGGAGAACTTTATCTCCATCTTTCAAACAAACTGGTTGAATCTCTCCATTCTTTCTTTTAGAGACTGATCTCACAGCTACTACTGTTGCTTGTAACACTTTTCCTTGAGATTTTTCTAGAAGCATAATCCTCCTACAGTTACAGTTTTGGCTGTATTCCCTTCAACCAATACTTGGTCCCAGAATGGAAGAAACTTTCTAAATGCTTGTCCTGACATGAATTTCACCACCACTTCAAAGAGACCCACTGTATGGTCCTGGGCTCTAACATTGACTACCTAGGACTTTATGAATAAGTTTTATGACCCTTGACTTAGAACAGTCTACAAATTACTAAGCTTCCTTTTCTGTAATTGGCTCAGAATTATTTTCTGCATAATATTTAGTAAAAAGAAAAAGAGAAAAATCTCTTTATTAATTCCACAGGTTTTCCACAGAATTCAGAAATTTCAGTTTCTGGGCTGGGGTTGTGGCTCAGTGGTAGAGCTCTTGCCTAGCAAGTGTGAGGCCCTGGGTTCAATCCTCAGCACCGCATAAAAATAAATAAATAAAATAAAGGTATTATGTACATCTACAACTCAAAAAAACATTTTTTATTAAAACAAAAGAAAAGAAATTTTAGTTTTTCTCTCCTATAACTGAATAAAATGGCAACTTAATGTTGCCATTTTATTCAGTTATGCATTTGTTTTGTTACTCTGTTTAGTAAGTAGTTATCAACCTACTAAGCTCCTAAGGAGTGATGGACAAAATCAGAAGAAGGAAAGCTCATTTTATATTTGATCACAATAAAGTCTTTGTGAAGAAGTTGGGAATTAAGTTTGCTCCTGAAAAAAGAAAATGAAAATGAAAGAGTAGATATTCAATTGCAAGGAAGTGAAAAGAGGCCCAGTAAATGAATACATAAAGAAGACAAAATCAGGACACTCAAAGCATACTCAGAGAGTGAGTGAATAATCTAAGAAATCAGATTCGAGTGTACATACAGGCCAGCAGAAGACAGGGTCAGACTTCAAAGGACCTTAAAAACAATCTGACCATTTGACAGAATTCTTCAATTATGTTTTATAAAAGCCAACATCAGTATGCCCTAGAACTTTGTTAGAAATGTGGACTTGTCAGGACCTACTGAATCAACATCTACATTTTCACAAGATCTCCATGTCATTTGCATGAAGATTACAGTTTTAGAAGTACTACTGTAGGAAAGAACCACTGGACTAGTGGAGAAAGAACTGCACAGGGGCTCCTGATGATTCAACTATCATTCCAAGCTAAGTGGCCTTGGATAAGTCACCTAAAATCTCTGAGCTTCAGTTTTCTCATTCAAAACAGTGAATTTCTTTGAACTTTCCAACTCTAAAACTATTCTCTCTTTCAATGCACATCAACAAAATGGAAACTCTGTGATTGAGAAGCCAATATAATATGCTTTAGGGAGCCCAGCTTTAGGTATTCTGCAACATGAATTGGAGATGGAAAAAAGAAAAAAGAAACTGGAATACCAGTTCAAAACACAGTGTCTTGGGGCTGGGGTGTGGCTCAAGCTGTAACGTGCTCACCTGGCATGTGTGGGGCGCTGGGTCCGATCCTCAGCACCACATAAAAATTTAAAAAAATAAAGATGGTGTGTCGACCGAAAACTGAAAAATAAATATTAAAAAGTTCTCTCTCTCTCTTAAAAAACAAACAAACAAACAAACACAATGTCTTGTTCTAAACATGAAGTTCTAAAACATAATCCTACATCCTGTGAAAAAATCAGCTACCAGTATACCTTCTTAGTATTAGCACTACATTCTATGTTCTACATTTTTATTACTGTACTTTTATTAAGTGCAATAAATGAAAAGAGCCAATCATGCCAAAACAGAGTAAGTGGGGAGAGGAGAGAGACAGAGATTGAAAAAGCTCCCCAAATTCAAAGGTAACAAAGAAATATAAGCAACTCCAATGGAAATATTAAAAAGTTGTCAAATGGATTTTTTAACGGGGTTTCCTATAAAGTGACTACTAATCTTTCTGATTAGATATTGCTGCAAAAAGCGTAGCGCTTTTGTGTCTCACTCAAAATCAGTTATGACATCAGCATTGCAAAAGGCTGAAATTATTTTTAAAGGCCTGAACAAGTTGACAAAATACTGGTATTTTTACTCTCAAAGAAAACTTTGATTTTAATATATTATATTATCTTGTGACCCACTGGAGGAATTCATAACCTCTCTTTATTTATTTATTTATTTTTGGTACCAGGGATCGCTATCTTTATTTTTAAAAACATGTCCACTTAAAAATTTTCCTCCACTCCACAGTAGGTTTCTTTAGCCATCTCTTTTAGATAAATAGCATCTACTTGAATTGATTGAATTCAATGGATTCGTTTCATGATCTTTTATTTATGTCCTCCCACATTTAAAATAAATAAGGTTAATACTGATAGAATAAGGTTGTATGGGTCTTAGAAGGATCTATTTTTTTCATCACACCTCTTTTGTTCCATCTTGCTTAGCAAATCAGATGCTAGATATATTTTGATTAGTTTGTACTTTAATGGATCATGGATGGAGGGTCCACCTTTCACATTGGGGCCATTAATTTTTCTTGAGTCTGATGGAAAAAACAGGTAGAGCTTTTTTTGTGTGCTGATTGAAAAGTGATGGATTATTTTCATGTGGTAAGAAACACAATGTTTTCTTTAGCACAGCAGGATATAATGTTTGCAAGGTCTAACAGTGAAATATTATGCATATCTGCTGCTGGCCGGCTGCCAGAAACGGAACAGCAAAATCAGAGGAGATTTTGAATTTGAATCTTAAAACCAGTGCAGCCTACAAAGAAACTAATGAGCCATTCTAAGCAGAAAAAGCATTAGTACTAATAGATGATGCCGGCCATCCACACCAGCATTTAACAAAATGGTAAATAATTATTCACTTAAATGTTACCTTGAACTTTATTTCAAGAAAAAAAAAAGATTTATTTCTAGTAATTTCCAATAGGCACTGTTGCAAGGATATCCCCTCCTCCCCTACCAATTCAAAGGCCCTATGATATTTCCTTCATTGTAAAAGTAGAATCATTTTCCATATAGTATTTTTTACTCTCATAGTTGACTAATTAAAAATTTTTATTTCACCATTGTTCAATATTTAAAACTGGTGTTTCCAAATCAATACATAGGATAGGATCATGAAAAAGCTTTGAAATGTCAAACAAAATACATATATAAACATGATTTATATATGTATAAATATATATATTTAAAAAATATATTTATATTTAAAAAATATATATATGTAATATATATATTTAAAAATACATATTTTTTAAAGGTGAGGAAAAGGACGCTTTGAGTTTGCTGAATGTCTTGAGCTCCTTTGTTTTCAAAGTCAAGTATGTGGCTATGGGGAGTCTTTTTGTACTTAATATGTTTTTTTTTTTTCTTTTAATGTCATGGTAAACTATTGGTGTATTAGGGTAAATACAATCCATATGTTCATTTATATCCAGCTGATCAAGATACTGTTTTCTAAGTAATATTTGATATCTTAAAAAGTTGGAGCCTTCTTTTCTAAGCTTTTAACTTTTATTTTATTTTAACTTATCATTTAGGACAAGGAAGTTTTCTTTAGCAGGCATTAAAAAGCATTTGGGTCTCATGGTACTTGCTCGATTTTAAATGGAGAAGCTACACAATCAATATGGAAAATAAACTTCATATTACTGCCCCCTTGTAAATATAGAAATCTAATGGGAGGAGACATTTGCTACATCTTGATGCCTTATGTATTTTATATTACTGTATTTCAATCTCCATTTTAAAGGTGGTGTTATGACTTTAAATTACAGGCTTTTGCTTTTAAGACCATAATAATCTCCAGTGCTTCAGCATTGCAGGGAGGGGCTCAGTCCCCTGGAAACGTGGAGGAGAAGAGAAGAGAGGCCCTGATACACTGTCTCATTTTGCTCTTTAAAATCACAATTGAGACATGCTTGTGACACATTCAATCAGGCCATCCTCCTGTCTGAGTTACTCACCAGGTGTTTAGTGTTCCTGGAAGCTATGTGGACTCTTCCAGGGCTCTAGGGCACTAAAGAGTAATTTATTATATTTCTACAGCACCCTAAATGGTGCTCTTGTGGCCCAAGACCTGGTCTATCTCCAAATCGACAGAAAGCCTTAAAGACCTGCTTGGGTGACCTATAAATTAGGAAATTGTGGTTTATCTTCAAGATACTCTTTCTTAAATGTCATGTATTATACAGTCACTTGTGATTTGTTTAATAGTTTAAGTAACAGATTATTTTAAAGAATTTAGAGATCACATAGTCCATCTGTTCATCTGCCAATGAGTCGAAAAAAATCTTAATACTTTCTTTAAAAAAATGGAGCCCCATATAATATGTAAAATCAATATCAATTTAAAATGTTTCTTTTGAAGTTTGCTATGCAATACTCACACATGGTAGAAAATGCACTGTGTACTTTAGAAAAAAGAAAAATCAATTCTGCAAAGACCACCCGTATATTTGACTTACGTGGATTTGAATCTGCTTTATCAAAATGGTAAAAGGCTGCCTTATTTGTTAGAAACTAATTAAAATTTAGGCATGAAAAGATAAGAGAACCTCAAAGAACACATTGATAGAATGCTTGGGCATAAATATTTCTAAGCAAAGCGGATTGTGTCAATTCTTAAAACATTTCCACTTTGAAGTAATGTATAAGTTATGAAAGATTCTATCCAACAAAACTAACAGTGACCATCAAGCTGAGAACAATAATAACTCTGGTCATGTATTCTAATTTTCATTGAAAAGTGAAAAACAAACCAACAAAATGGGAAGAAAGAGTTAAAAAGAGGAAAAAAGAGAAGGAGGAAAGGAAATGTAGGAACATTTATTAAATAATGTTATTATGCTTCCATCATAATTAAATTAAGATTATAGAGTGTATTTGTTTAATACAACTAAAAAGAATATACAGCATGCAGTCTATATTTGCACAGGTATGATTATAGCAATATGTAATTACTGTAATATATAATTTCTATAAGAATGAGAAACTACAATTTTTGTTTTTTATATAATTTGTGATTTCCTTTCTCCTGATCTCCATTTCCCTGAGTTGTTGCTCATGATAACAATTAGATTCCTCTATATCTTAAATTATGGGCTGATTACATTATGTTGGGATCAGTGTGTCCTCTGGTTCATCTCACTTAGCCTATACATTCCAAGTACATGCTATCCATCTTCTCCTTTGGCCTCCTCTTTGGCCTCTGAAAACTCTTCAGCAGAGCTGATTTATTAAAGAAAACCTGGCTTTAGATGTTTTAATATTTACAGAGATAAAGATTTAACTTTGGGCATAATAAATATACAAAATACCTAAAGAGAGATGTTATTATTTAAGTTCTTGTTTGAAACTTAATGTGTACTTTCAAACCTTTCCAATCTTCTCAACATTTGGTAACATATTTAGCCTAAACAGCCAAAACTTGAGAATAAGCTCAGAAATACGAACTTTACAATGAAGAACTCCGCTGAACACACAAGTTCGTGAATATAAAAGGAGAGTGGATCATTAACTGAATCCAGATTTTAAATAATTGCCTTTCAAGCACATTTTGGTAACTACATAATCAGATGCCTTAGGATGTTAAATATACTTTTCCACAAGACTAAAGGAATTTGGAAGTTAAAAAAAAAAAAAAGCAATCGCAGTTCAACTTCATGCCTGTGATTCTAAAACACTGACAAACGTCAGCTTTCTTTTTCTAAAACAGATTTGAATTTACCATATTTTCCTAAAATCGACTTTCTATTATTAACATCTCTAATATCTCTGCTAGAAAAAAAAGTGTGTGTGGATGTGTTCAGTAGTTTTGAAGTTTTCCCTAAAGTGATTTTTGGCATGTTCATTTTTACTGAAATATTTCTATAGTTTATAGAAGTTGAACTCTTCCCTCCTTTCGATTCAAAGAAACTCACAATGAGTGTCGGATTAAAACTCATTTGTGTTTTTAAAATCTCCGTAGGACTGGGAGTTTTTAATCCACAGAAATTATAACTAACAGACAAAAAAAAAAAATCCACTCGAACATTTTAAAAACCTTAAAACTGGTGGGTTTCCTTCTACATCGACAAAGCAAAGCCATGGGGAAATTTTAACAGATTTAAATTTCATTTCAACTGACTTGAAAACGCTTTTCTTCTTTAAGGATGGTAGAATTTCAAACGTTCTGATACCAACTGACAGATCGTTTATGAATATTTGGAAAATCATCCTTAGCTCTTTTCGCAGCCCAAAGAAAGATACAAAAAAAGAATCATAATATGCATTTGGGAAAGCTTGTGTGGTGATAGAACAGAGTCCCATGGTAAGAGCAGACGGAAAATGGTAGTTATTATTAATTTAGAAAAACAAAAGAGCGGCCCAGCATTTCAGTAATGTGGCAAGTTGTGTGCTCCTGAAGGAGAGAGGGTTTTATAATTGGATTTTAGAGTAATTTAGAAGACGAGATAAGATGTAATGGTTGTGTATTAGAGGTTAGAACTACAACAGAAACCCATAATGTAAGGGTTCACTGCACTGGGAGAAAGAAAGCAGAACAAAGAAAAGCAGCATCCACCGAGAAAGGCCTAAATAGAAAGCAACAAGGTGAAGCCGTGGTGAAACCTGGGGCCTGAACATTCTGGGTGGACAGGGCAGTGACACAGGCTCAAGCTCCCGTTGCAGTAGACAGTGTGGAGCAGGGACTTCCTTTAAAGCATTTTTTTCTACAGTGACCTGTCCCAGGCTCACCTCCGTTCTGCTTCCTCCAGGAGAATTCTTGGCTTGGCATTTCCTTCTCCCCCAGCAACCCAGAAGTCACCCTTAAGTCTCCTCTGCCAGGGCCTCACCTTCTAGTCACCTGTCCTGGGGCTCACCTGCAGCCTCCTAGGTTCTCGCAGGGGAGATTGTGGGGGCTCTGTCTCTAGGCTCCCTCATGGCCAAACATCACACACACACACACACACACACACACACACACACACACACACACACACACACACACACCAGGTCAGCAAGCTGGAGCTGTCTCTCTGTCCATCCTTCCCCAGGGAACCTGGCCTCTGCCCACAGAGAGAGAGAGAGAGAGAGGAAAAAGAAAGAGAAGGGAAAGTAAAACCTGGCTGGCCTCCGACCCACCCATTTTCCTTCCCAGCCTTGGACAGGTAAATGCACATTTCTTCCCCTCTTTCTTGGATCCCTTTCCAAAGGACGCATCACGAAGAAGGTAGGTTCCAGCTCTCAGGCGAAGGCCCCAGGTGAGCGGCTCCTTCTGGAGCAAATAATCTAAGCGTTGGTGAGGGAAATCTAAACTCTACTTCTAGAATCTCAGAGCTGTGCTGCTGGCGGGAGGGAGGATCTGAGTGTTGAATTCCTTTCCAGTTACCAGCGCTTGGCTACCCCCTGCTGGGCGGGAAGCTCCTGGCCTTCAGACCTGCACCACTGCGCTCCAGGCTCCTCCCAAGGTCTGGGACAGAATCCACTTACTTCCTGTCAAAGTGCTATCACAGCTTCCTGACTTGAAGCTGGAGTGTGAAGTTACCTTCCAAATCCCCCAAGAGGTGTTAGAGATTCTTTTTTTTCTCCCCCTCCAAGCCCTTTGTATGCCAGTTTAAGCAGAACAAATCTATTTATTTTTTTTTGTAAGGATCGGTTTATTAAAAGCACACACATAACTCAAGTTGTACACTAAAATGATGTTAGGCTTTGTTGAGCATGAAGTGAGCTTGCTCAAGCCCCATTTCCTACTCTTCAGTGCGTCCCTTTCTCCCGAGGCAGAACACAGGTTCCCTTAAGAAGCTTTCCACCCCAGGGCCTAAAAGGCACCTTAGCTGCCCAGGGCTTCCTCAAGCCTTCTCCTCCACAAACCTCCTTTGTGCATCTCCCCGGGAAACCCAGTTATATGCTGTAGGAAACTTGGGCAAATATAAATGGATGGGAAACTGATTTTTCACCGGATCAAGTTTTCAAATACAGATTAGCACATTTTAATTGTCCTCCAAACTATTCTCAAAGTCACTCTTAACAAAACCCAGATTTGGAGGAAATTCACTGCCGTAACTGTAATGTGTATACACTATTAAGACAGTTATGAAACCTCAGACACATTTGGAAGACATGGCTTAAAAGTGCCTTTAATACAAAATAAAATAAAGTAAAATATAAATAAAAAGGGATTAGTTGTTATAAGCTGTAACACAGCTGCGGTGACAGAAACTGCGGAAACATGTAAACAGAGGGTGCTTTTAGTTACTCAGTGACCCAAATGTCTTTTTCAGACTCACACAATTCTAAGTCGGACACACTTTTTCATTTCATTTATTTTGCGGACCAAGCAGAAATGAAATGGACATTCAGATTGAGTAAACAGGGTCTTTATATATAGCCGCCAGGCTGCCAGATAGACAACTTCTGTTTACATGGAGAGCGAGGGTAAGGAAACAATGTCACAACGGCATCCCTTCTTGCATTTACTGGCGTGAAGTGCAAACCCAAATATATTCCCCCAACAAATTAATAAAGGACAAACAGACTTCTAACCTTGCCTTGGTGTGTGAAAGTGTCAGAACTGTTGGAGCACTTGAACTCCACATGGGGCCAAAACCTCAGAGATAAACATAAACATTGCTGTCTGTCGGCAGGGGGTAAACAAATTAGGATTTTGCAAAATCTGTGGCTGGTTCCTTCCCAAGTCCTAGCCCCACACTGTTTTCAACTGAAGTGGGCTCCCCTAGATGCTTTCAGCAAATACGAGAGGAGGTAGACAGTGAAGGAAAGGATTAATTTGAGATTTGACTTTCTGATTAGCTAGTAGAGTGGTCAGAGGAGTGAGGCTGCAGTATACAAATTAACACCTTTTCAAAATCTTGAACTCTCATACTGTTTTTTTTTTTTTTGCCTTTCCCTTTGATGAGCCCTGTGTCAATTCCTGTCATCTGTTGTGACTTTATAATATTCTTGTTCAGATAGTTCACCAAGGTCAGGAGGGGAGGGCAGACACAAAACAAAGAGATAAGCCTATCCCTGGGGCACAGGGCTCTTTCTGAAGGTGAACTCCAGTAACCCTGGCCCCCCTGACTAGGCTGGAAAAGTGTATAGGCCTTTCCACCAAATTCTGCCAGGTGAGACTCAATACTTTAATCTCTATTCCTGCTCAGCGAATTGAGCCATTTCCCTTCTCCAACCAGTGCAGTCTCATGACTTCAACTCCTTTTCTGAATCCTTTCCACTTTCCATTTTTTCTTGAATCTTCCTGAGATCAGCTCAGTTTGTTCTTAAATATTCCTTTACAGTGGATGATCACCCAAGAGAGATTTGAGTGTCTTCCTTGTGTCCACTATTGTACACTGAGTTCTGGAGGATACAAAGTAAGATATTGACCTTGACCTAAAATGCATTTTAATATGATCCGGGGGGGGGGGAACCGTATTTGACTAATAATAATGGATATAAATAAAAAAATAGTAAAATAATTATTATAAAGATGAAGGACTTCAGAGAAGAGTGAAATCAATGGTAGAACATTTAGACAACCTCAAAAAGAAGATAAAATCTGAGTGAACTAATAATAGCATTATTTGAATGGTCATATTTAAGTGGTCACTCTGGATCAGATGCCATTCTAAATGTTCTTATATGTATATTATCCTTTAATCCTCTTTATGGACCCATGAGGTAGAAATTATTATTTCCATTTTAGAGGTATAAAAAATAGAGGTTTGGAAAAGTTAGAATCTCACAGCTTATAATTGGTGGGACTGAGATTTGACTCCCAACCCTGGACTTGTAAAATCATACTACTGTAACAGGATAAGATCATAGCTTATGAAAGAGAACAAAAACAGGTCAAAAAGCAACACCAGACAGCCTTCTCTTTTGAGCTGGGTAGGGTTCATTGTCATGCAACCCTGTAGGCACATTTGCAAACATTGTTAACCAAAAGAATTGGTGACTACTCCATATCCTAGAGAATTCAGTCTTAGAGAGTCCAACACAGATATTAATGGTGCTAATAGATCCTGGCTTGCACCAGAGAGGTCCAGAAAAAGCAAGTGAATTCAAATCACATTAGACAGAAGTATATGTGTCACAGAAGAACTGTCCAAGTTAAGAGTAATAACTTCCCATCATCCTTTTTCCTGTGAAATTTATACTCAGAATGGTATAGAGGAAGGATCAAAGTCAGGCACCTTCCAACAGAAGCACTCCTAACAATTATGGGGCCTGCAGCCAGAAATGGAAGCCCATACATTGTATGTCCTTATATTTAATATACACATATAATCGAGCTAAACAAACTTTTATAGGAAAATGCATTCTATTCCCATACATAAATTAACAACCTGAAAAGGGCAGCTTTGAATTTAGAAGCTTTGGACTACTTGAAATGCTGAATCCCAATATGGTAAGGTGGGGAGAAGTAACTCTTCATGGTCTCTGATCCCAATCCAGTGTCATAACCACATGATCCCTGTTTCCTTTCTGGCTCCAGGTCTCTTCCCCATCCCAAAGCCTTCACCCATTTAAGCTGAGCACCCTTTTGGTCAGCTCCTAGGGTAGGAGTGTGCGCTGGCATCACAGTCTATCTTCAGAAGGAAAGACCCAGAAAAGAGGCCATGCAGACTGGGGATCATTTGCTCAGGAACATCCAGGAGCCAGACACCTGGAGCCTAATGTGGATGCATGCTATTCAAAGCACAGTCCACATCACCAGGCACATTATTTTAAAAAATACAGATGTGCAGACTCATTCTGGATCTAGTGAATTAGAATCTTCATTTTAGCAAGATCCCTAGGTATTTCCTAAGCCCATTAAAGTTTGGAAATCAATGAGTTAAAAAAAAGTAGGTGACTCCTTGACAGGAAGTTTTACTTGTCCCCAAGGACTCCTCACCCTGTGAAGAGAGGCATGACTAAATAAGAACCAGGATGGAACCCTGTTAAGATCTGGATATGAGGTGTCCTTCAGAAACTCCTGTGATAATGCAGGAATGTTCAGAGGTAAGATGGTTAGATGATGAGAACTGTAACCTAATACATCCATTGGAATGGTAACTATAGGCCGGTGGGGCATAGCTGGAGGAAGTGGGTCCTCCTACACTGGAAGGTTCATATTCCCTAAGGCCCTTCCCCTTTCACTGTCTGGTTCCTGGCCACGGTGGTGAGTGGAGCAGTACTCCTTAGCCTCTCTCTGCCACCATGATGTTTCACCTCTCCTTAGACCCAGAGCAACGTAATGGGCTGATGGTGGGCTGAACCTCTGAAACCATGAGCTCCAAATTAGCTTGTCTTCTTCTAAGTTGTTCCTATCAGGTTCCTTTGTCATGGCTGACTAACATAATTCACAAAGACTAGCACTAAGACTGGATCCCTTTTTGCCTAGGTGTGAAGGTGAAAGGCCATGCAGACTCAATTACATAAATGAGTGGGGAGGTCTAGTGTATAAAGATTGATGCTACAGTCCATGAAGGAGCTGTCAAAGGTGTTAGCCCTGCCTGAAGGGGGCAGCCAGCACTCAGCCATAGCTCATTGTGCCCCAGAGGTTATACTGGCTAAGGGGTAAGGGCAAATCACACACAGGTGGGATTAATATACTAGATTAGCAGTTCTCAGGGTTGGGGAGAGGAAAGGAGGATGGGTATCAGAATCTCCAGGAAAGATATTAAAAGATATCCATGTCCCTGCCTCCACCCCTGAGTAAAGACCTAAAATTTTGGTTGAAGAAGGGAGATACTCATATTTTAATTTTTTAAAAAACATTTTCAGGTCATTTTCAGGATTTGTTACCCCCAAATCCTCCCTGCCCTCCTGCCTCAGCACTTGATGTGTTAAAAATTGCTTTGGACAACAAAACATGGTTCGTCACTGTGTGAGTCCTGGGGTTATGCTGGGAAGAGGCTAAGAACTGGCTTGATCATTCCTCCGTCACTCTCAGGTACACACCTTGTCAGGGGTACCCAGGT